TGTGGGTCTATGAGACATTAGCACTAAATTCCTCCTCAAATCTTTTTTAGCAGTTGGCGAGCAACTCAAGAAGATTTTTCAGGTTTACCTCTCCTTTCATCTTTCGACATTTTGGAAATTTATGGTCGCTCTTTGTTTAAGTATTCCAGATTCTATATGATTTAAGCTAACCTACTTGCTATATTCTCATCCTAAATATAAAATATAGAGAAGGACCGTGACAACTCTGCATTATTATCTCTCAAAATGAGAATAATATGGCTTCTCTTTTCAGTATTGTTACATGAGAGGAAAGCTCACTTTGAGATAAACATCTGTTTTAAGCTTTTTGTTTGCTGCGGAAAATACCTTGGCCTCTCTTTTTTTCCCTTAAAGATTTTCTTTGATTTTGAAAAACAATACTAGCTTGATGAATGATATGATATCTTAATGATAGAAAAAAGGTTTAACAAAGTAGTGTCGCTCTTAAATTTGAAAAACTTTTTGATTAATGGTACCTGCTTTCCATTTGGAGTTTGCCTTCACCACTAGGTTCCTGTGCTTATTATAATATTGGTAAATGCAAAAATGATTTTAGGGGAAAAAGATTGCGATATAGTTAGAGCACGAATTTTGGAATTCCTCTATCACATGGAAAAAGGTATGGAGCTGCTTTTGTAATTTACACTCTGCTATGTTGCTTTGAACTATAATTGTTAAATACAAATCTTGACTAGGGAGTTGGGAGTCAGGAAAAATGTAGAAAGGGAAAAAAGCAAGAGCAACAGTAGAGTTTCCTAGCCATATAGCCTAATATGTAAGAGCTTATTAAACTCCGAATGGGTCTTTAACATTCTTTGTTTAGTTCAGTTCAACATCGAATTAACGTAGTTATTTTCATTTGGAAGTTAGGCAGTATATTGTTGGCTTGTGGTATTTTATGTCTCATTAAATATCCGTTTAAATAACACAATATTAATATTAAAATAAATATTAATATTAAATTAAATCAGTTTTTTGTTTTCAGTTGTGTAACTAAAAATTAAACTTTCCTCGTTAATTCCCGGTTTATTATTGCATAAATTAGCCATTTATGTTATGGCATTTATGCTATGGGCATTTTGCATAAACAGTCATTTTGAAGAGCTGCACCTCTTCAGTTTTCAGCCCAACTTTGGCTATAAATACAAGTCCATTCTCTCAGAATTTCCATACGATTTTCTGAGTTTCTCCTCCTTCTTCTGCATACATTTAACATCAAACAAAGCAACAGTAAGTGTGATTTGCTACCAAACTTTGTGTTCACTGAAACACTGAGGTTTGAAGTACCACAACACCAGTGTGTAATTCGTTCTATCCTGCAAGGAAATAATTCATAACCTTGGGTACTAGGAAGGGATTAAATTCCTTAAGGAAAACACTGTGAATTCAGTGGGCTCGAATTGATTTTTGTTTCTTTACATTTTCTGTTTATATATTATCCATTTTTCAGAATTAATTTACAAATACAGATTACTAACAAGCTTAAGGAATTTAATATTTTCTGTATTTGTGTTGTATTCACTGTTTTGGAGATTAAAACCTTTGTGGTTTTCTACTTCATTGGAGATTAAAATCTACGTGATTTTAACATTTGCTTGTGTCATCGTTTACAGAAATGACTAATGATAACGGAAATCAAGTTGTTCCAATGGTGACTGCCAATGCGTCGACAAGCCGAACACCCGCGTTGGCACCGGCGGAGAAACCCAAAAAAAAATTCCGGGTTAGATTTCAAGAGGTGGCAGCAGAAGATGTTCTTCTACCTGACTACTTTAAGTCTGCAGAAGTTCATCAAGGAAGATGTTCCTGTTCTACCCGATGAAACTCCAGAGAATGAACGCTTTCTCGTGATTGAGGCGTGGAAGCATTCTGATTTTCTGTGCAAGAATTATGTTCTTAGCGGACTGGAGGACAATTTGTATAATGTCTATAGTGGCGTGGAGACGTCTGTCACGCCCCAAACTAGGGGAGGCACGACTGACACTCGATACTGTATTCGATCGAGTTAGTCACTAAATATACTAGCTAACTAAACTGGGGGCCCAATAGATCGGGCAGCACAACATTTGAAATACTAAGCCTGGACCATTAAGGTCATGACCTGAATAACAATAAACCATATAAACAAAGATAGACGAGCCAAAATAATAAAATACTAGCTGGCCGACGAGGTCGCGATTGGAGACATACATGCCTACACACACATATATATATATATGCCAAGCCTATGAGCTGGAGACTGAAAGCTACAAAAAGAAACCCAGAATACTGTGTCCACAATAGCCTCTAAGAGTATCATAAGCATTGTCAGAACAAGGCCCCGACTATACCCAAACTGTACACAAAAGTAACCATCATATGAAAACTCGAGGAAGAGGTGGAGCTTACCAACTCACAGTTGAACCCCGAAATCCTAGCGGAGGGGTCGAATGCAGTGTCCCCAGGCAGCGGGACATCAGTACGAATAAAAATGTACTAGTATGTAAGGAGAAAGTAGAATCATACATAGCTGATGTAAAAAAATAATAGTGAAACCACCTGACACTGAAACTCTTGTAGCCTCCATGACCGACATCCGACCTCACAGTAATCAATTATGCATTGTATGCTCGTGTAAGCGTATGTTGTGAATACATATATATTGATGCAAATGCATGACATACTCAACCAAATGCTAGCAATGGCGGTCTCTCCCGGTAGCTAACCGGTATCATATTGCCAACCTGTGGCCATCTGTACAATATATATAGTTTTTTGGGCAAATAGGCCCCTTACCTCCGATTATAGCTCGAAGTCCATGTATAATATGTCATGTATGAGATGAACTTTGAATGCACATAATAGGCCATAACAAGAACTTAGCCCATCTTGGCTCATAGGTACTCTTATCCTCATGATCTCATAATCACCTTCGTATCGCATACAATTGTCTCGTGGAACCTCATATGTTTTCTTTGAAGAAATAAGCCTGAAAACTTAACTCGACTTTTAGAAAGATAACTTAACTCTGAAGATGTTCATAAAAAGCTTAAGGTGCTTCACTTAGTACTTATACCTGATTTCTTGATAATTAGTAAAGGAAAGTATATCAAAAATCAAGTGTTTTAATAGTTTAAACGTAAAATTTATATTTCAGATATTTGGAAATCGATGTGTCACTTTAGAGATTTTAAAATATACTTTAACAAGGAAGAAGAACTGATTGTAAATACTACATGCCTTTATTTTGTTTAGTCATACAACCCAAAGACGAATAAGAATTCATATATATAGACATATGGATAAGAGAACCGACAAAATAACATATATAAATGTCGAATACCCTAATTAACCGAACGAGTGGAATATCAACCTAATAGCATCATGAAAATACTTCAGCTACGATCCCAATGCCTTTCACAGAAGGTCTTTCTAGCAATAGAATAGTAAAATATCACATTTGACGTCTTAGGAATTTCCAAGAATTCGTGCAAAAAGGAAGGACGGAGCTTAGCCTTAACATACCTTCCCAACGAACGTCCGAATGCATGTAGTTCCTTCATGAAAGTTGTTCCTTACGTCCTAAGCTTCGCAAACACTATATATATGAAGCTTATACGCACCTATAAATAGTTCATAATTGAGTTTAAATCGGCAAATTTGCCATATGGCCCTAACTTGACGAAACGTCCCTAGAACTTTGTAAAAACGATCATAAAAGAGTTCCAAGATGATTACCTTGGAAAATCAAGTATAAAGCCTGAAGAACCAGCAAGAACAACAAATTCTTATCTTCCAAAAATAGCTCCAAACACAGCTAATAGAAGGGGGAAACGATTGCAAAGCGTAAAGATTGAGTTTCTAGGCACGGGGATAAACTTTAACGGTAGAAATCGTTAAAAACGTACCTTAATCACTCAAGAACACCATGGAACCCTCTCTTCAACTCCCTCACTATTTTGGGACGAAAATGAAATGTTTTGGGGTCTTACAAGTCGGATTTTCCGACTTATACCACTTGTTTGACCCGACTCGGTTCGCGATCTGGTTTTAGCCTGGACAATCCGGGGTAAAACAGTCATAACCTTTTACTCCAAGGTCCGTTTGATGTGAGGTTTTTTTGGTTGCGAACTAGATTTGTAGACCTTCAATTTGATAGGTTGTTGGTCCCATAAATCATTATATATTGGGAGAAATGATCTGATACATTTGACCCAAAGTTTAGAAAAATTATTAGAGAAATTTACGATAACCTTTGCCGACCTTTATTTCGCAACTTGCTTGACTCCAAAACTTAACATGTGACCCGTGTGATATTATAATACCTCATAATACACTATTCTTAGCATATTAGACACACTTAGTCTTATCGCACAGGTGCAAGTTAACTTGAATCTTCCGAACACGCGGAGTGCTACCCGAGCCATTTCTTTAACCACGAACCTTTGTTTAAGGGATTCCTTTGACCTAAAGCTTTAGTTAGCTCCTTGATATAACCACACTTTTTCAGTCTTATTCTCCCAATGTGATATACCCAATCGTATATACCTAATATAACCACGCCACGTTACGTATATTGCGTAAGAGAAGAGAAAAAAATACATGGGGTCTCACAGTCTCCCCCCGTTAAGAACATTCGTCCGCGAATGGGTCAAATCAATTCCTTGGTTTCATTTTTTTCCGCTAATACTTTATTTGCGAGGCTATATTTGTTACATTTTCAAAGCATAAATCGAATTCTGAAGCTTCCAACTACTAGGCTTCGTATAGCTATCTCGCAATAAGAAATTTAAATTGCACTTTCTTGTCATTTAAAAATCCAATTAAGTGTTGTAAAGAAATAATTTCCAATTATTTAAATGCAACTCACCTTAAGTCGTAAATAGGTAGGGTTACTTCTTCTTTATTTCCTCCTCAGCTTCCCAGGTCGTTTCCTCGATGTTGTTATTTCGCCATAACACTTTCACGGAAGCCACTTCTTTAGTTCGAAGCTTTCTTACCTACAGATCTAAAATAGCTACTGGTACATCTGCGTAATATAAGTCTTCAGCAACGTGAATATCCTCAATGGGCATAATACGTGAAGGATCTCCAATGCACTTCCGTAGCATAGATACATGAAACACAGGATGGACTACTCCCAATTCCGAAGGCAAATCAAGCTCGTATGCGACCCTACCAATCCTCCGAATAATCTTATACGGTCTAACATACCTGGGGCTGAGCTTCCCCTTCTTTCCAACTCGCATAACGCCCTTCATAGGCGATACTTTCAGGAAAACCCAATCTTCTACCTCAAACTCTAAGTCTCATCGTCGAACATCTGCATAAGACTTCTGCCGACTTTGTGCTGTACGCAGCTGGTCTCTAATAAGTTTTACCTTTTCCACTGCTTGCTGGACTAAATTAGGACCTAGCAACTATACTTTCCCGACCTCGAGCCAACCGATCGGCGACCTACACTTCCGCCCGTATAGTGTTTCGTAAGGGGCCATCTGAATACTAGCTTGGAAGTTGTTATTATAAGCGAACTCAATAAGAGGTAGATGATCATCCCGACTTCCTTTAAAATCTAGCACGCAAGCACGTAACATATCCTCAACTGTCTGAATAGTACGCTCTGCCTATCCATCAGTTTGCGGATGAAAAGTTGTGCTAAGATTTACCTGCGTGCCTAGACCCTTCTGAAAAGATTTCCAAAAATGTGCTGTAAATTGAGCCCCTCGATCAGAGATAATAGATAATGGCACTCCGTGAAGGCGAACAATCTCTCGAATGTAAAGCTTGGCATAATCCTCGGCTGAATATGTCGTCCTGACTGGCAGGAAATGAGCAGATTTTNTAAATTGAGCCCCTCGATCAGAGATAATAGATGATGGTACCCCGTGAAGGCGCACAATCTCCCGAATGTAAAGCTTGGCATAATCCTCAGCTGAATATGTCGTCCTAACTGGCAAAAAATGAACAGATTTTGTAAGCCTATCAATAATTAGCCAAAGAGAATCATACCTCCGTGGAGTGCGAGGCAAACCGGTGATGAAGTCCATATTTATCATGTCCCATTTCTATAATGGAAGTTCAATACACTGAGTTAGGCCTCCAGGCCTCTGATGTTCGGCTTTAACTTGCTGGAAGTTAGGAAATTGGGCTACCATCTCCGCGATATCTTTTTTCATTCCATTCTACCAATAGATCTGTCGAAGGTCCCGATACATCTTTGTCGCTCCGGGGTGAACTGCATATCTAGAATAATGGGCCTCCGAAAGAATCTTGGCGCGGAGCTCTCCGACTGTCGGTACACATAAGCGGCCCTGGTAACTAAGGACTCCATCTCCAGTTAGCTCAAATAAAGGTTGTCATTGCTGTGGAATACTACCCCTCAGTTTTATAAGCTCAGGATCCTCGTGTTGTCGCTCTTTCACTTCAGTAACAAAAGAAGATTTTGCTGTATTCTGAACGAGAATATATCCACCCTCTGCGTCTACCAAACGCACCTGCAAATTAGCTAGCTGGCATAGATATTTGGTCATCTTGACCTTATCAGCTTCAACATGGCTTAGACTGCCCATGGACTTCCGGCTAAGGGCATCAGCAACAATATTAGCTTTGCCGGGATGATATAAAATATCAACATCATAGTCCTTTAGTAATTCTAGCCATCTTCTTTGTCGTAGGTTCANCCCATGGACTCCGACTAAGGGCATCAGCAACAATATTAGCTTTACCGGGATGATATAAAATATCAACATCATAGTCTTTTAATAACTCTAGCCATCTTCTTTGTCATAGGTTCAGCTCCCTCTGTTTAAATAAATATTGAAGGCTCTGGTGGTCGGTAAAAACATCAATATGAACCCCATATAGATAATGCCGCCAAATCTTTAGGGCGAAGACAACTGCGTCTAACTCAAGATCGTGCGTAGGATAGTTCTGTTCATGTTTTTGCAACTGTCTGGAGGCGTATGCGATAACCTTACCATGATGCATAAGAACACAACCTAGGCCAATTCTCGAGGCATCACAATAGACAACATAACCCTCGGTGCCATCCGGAAGAGTCAAGACAGGTGTCGTCGTAAGCCTTTTCTTTAGCTCCTGAAAACTTTATTCACATGCCTTAGTCCACTGAAACTTAGCTCCCTTATGTGTCAGTTTCGTCAATGGTGCAGAAATAGAGGAAAATTCTTCCACAAACCTTCGGTAATACCCTGCCAAGCCTAAAAAGCTACGAACCTCTATCGGATTCAAGGGCCTCGACCAAGTCATCACAGCTTCAATCTTTTGGCCATCAACCTTGATACCATCGCTGGTAATAACATGACCAAGAAAAGCTACAGAAGTTAGCCAAAATTCACATTTAGAGAATTTAGCATATAACCTGTAGTCCTGGAGAGTCCGCAATACAGCTCGTAAGTGATCCGCATGCTCGACTTCCGATCGTGAATATATCAAGATATCATCAATAAACACAATTACAAATTCATCCAAGAATGGTTTGAATACCCAGTTCATAAGATCCATAAAGGCTGCTAGGGCATTTGTAAGCCAAAAGACATGACAAGGAATTCAAAATGGCCATACCTCGTCCTAAATATTGTTTTTGGGATATCAATATCCCTGACTCGTAGTTGATGATAACCGGATCGCAAGTTGATCTTCGAAAAGCATTTGGCACCTTGTAACTAGTCGAACAAGTCATCAATCCGTGGAAGAGGATACTTATTCTTGATAGTGACTTTATTTAGTTGCCTATAGTCAATACACATCCGCAAGGAGCCATCTTTCTTTCGAACAAAGAGCACCGGATCACCCCATGGGGATGTACTTGGCCTAATAAAGCCTTTATCGAGTAAGTCCTTCAGTTGTTCCTTCAATTCCTTTAGCTCTGTAGGAGCCATTCTATAGGGAGGAATGGATATAGGCTGCATATCAGGAAGCAAATCTATAGCGAAATCGATTTCCCTTTCGGGGGGAATTCCTAGAAGCTCGTCAGGGAATACCGTCGGGAATTCATTCACAATAGGAACCGATTGAAGAGTCGTTGGCTCCTTATCCATATACCTGTCATGAACCAGATGGTATATACAGCCTTTAGCAATAAACTTCCGAGCCCTAAGGTATGAAATAAACTTACCTTTGGGCGTGGCTGCATTACCTTTCCATTCAAGAACAGGCTCATCCGGAAAATGAAATCGGACCAACTTTGCACGACAATCAATATTAGCATAACAAGCTGCCAACCAATCCATACCCATAATGACATCGAAGTCTAGCATAACCAATTCAACTAAATCA